TTAACTAACTATATGTCACAAGTAAAAGCCTTGGGTATCGAGTTGATACAATTCCAAGTCTGGAAGGTTAAAACCACCTCAGACTTAGGAAGATGTAAAACTTTCCTTTTTTTCTATGAATTTTATTAGCCCATATAAAGTCTGTTATGACCAAGTATACTTTTTTAAAGAATGTCTTCGGTGGGGTAATTGGTATTACTGAAAATACCTGTAAGATTTATGGGAGGATTATTCCATTTAATTAGATCTGCTTTCATATGGTTGAGTAATGGAATAACGTTATCTTCATATATTTGTTGTTTGTTGTCACTTATTAAGCATCCTAAGTATTTAATAATTTTTGTGGTACATTTAAAGGATTGTTGTAAATCGTGAGTTATTATTTGTCTTTTTCCTATTGCCATTATTTCATCATGTTATATCCAGAGATTTTATAGTGTTCTGAAAAGGACTTCAGCCATGTCATCTTCTGTATACAGTGCACAACTGCCTGGACTGGCCTGGCCCTGGTCTGCAGAACCAACAAGGCCTTAATTTGGCTTCTGTCTTGGGTGAGACGTTAAATCCTCGGGCCTGCCGTCCCTTTGCCAAGTCCCTGGCAACCTCATCGGAATGCTAATGTTGAAATGGTTAACTGCTGCCCTCAATGTTATGGCCTCTTTTCCCCCTGCCTGCCTGCAACGGTCAGGAGGGACTACCTCACTTGTTTTCTCCAGGGGAAGTTGACAGACTGTCTACCCAGGGGCCACCGTTGCAATATATATATTTTTAAACAGAACCCTGCCATCTATACAAACATACTTTGGCAGTGTGGGGGTCTCTTTGGGCTAAGAGTTAAAAGTCAAATCGGACTCTGAACTAAAGAGTTGGGGGACACAGTGTATTTTCGAGAGAAGTTTTAGGGGAATTGTATTATTTGCAAAGCAGCTTCAGAAGTAACCTTTCAGTTTCAGCTGAAATAATTTTTAATTACATTTCTTGTTTTTGAGCGGGTAAGGGCTAAAATGAGTTATGGGATGAAAAAAACATAATAATACATCATAATTCTATTTGTGAGAAAGTATTTAACAATCAGAATGCATGTACGTGAATAATATGCATATAAATCATTAACATTTCTATGAGCAAGATTTGTATGCGAGAGGAAATTAAATACACTAAATATGCCAACTTAATTGAGAGGGCCAATTATTATGAGAGGGCCATGAACAGTACCCGGTAATGCTGTATACTGCTAGAAATATCTAATTTTCAGCTTTTTTTGTTCTTCATTATTTATTTATGAGTTGTATTCACTTTTCAAACCACAATATATAGTAAATAGCAAACAGTATGAATCGTATGAAAATATAATGATTTCATATGCTATGAACAACCTATTCATGAACAATTTGTGAATATGGCCTGACATAGAGTACCAGTCAAAGGTTTGGACACACCCACACATTCAAGGGTTTTCTTTATTTTTACTATTTTCTACATTGTAGAATAATAGTGAAGACATCAAAACTACGAAATAACACATATGGAATCATGTAGTAACCAAACAAGTGTTAAACAAATCAAAATATGTTTTATATTTTAGATTCTTAAAAGTAGCCACCCTTTGCCTTGATGACAGCTTTGCACACTCTTGGCATTCTCTCAACCAGCTTCATGAGGAATCCTTTTCCAACAGTCTTGAAGGAGTTACCACATATGCTGAGCACTTGTTGGCTGCATTCCTTCACTATGCGGTCCAACTCATCCCAAACCATCTCAATTGGGTTGAGGTCGGGTGATTGTGGAGGCTAGGTCTTCTGATGCAGCACTCCATCACTCTAATTATTGGTCAAGTAGCCCTTACACAGCCTGGAGGTGTGTTTTGGGTCAATGTCCTGTTGAAAAACAAATGATAGTCCCACTAAGCGCATACCAGATGGAATGGCGTATCGCTGCAGAATGCTGTGGTAGCCATGCTGGTTAATTGTGCCTTGAATTCTAAATAAATCACTAACAGTGTCACCAGCAAAGCACCCCCACACCATCACACCTCCTCCTCCATGCTTCATAGTGGGAACCACACATGCGGAGATCATCCGTTCACCTACTCTGCGTCTCACAAAGACACAGCGGTTTGAACCCAAAATCTCAAATTTGGACTTATTAGATCAAAGGACAGATTTCCACCGGTCTAATGTCCATTGCTCGTGTTTCTTGGCCCAGGAAAGTCTCTTCTTCTTATTGGTGTCCTTTAGTAGTGGTTTCTTTGCAGCAGTTCGACCATGAAGGCCTGATTCACGCAGTCTCCTCTGAACAGTTGATGTTGAGATGTGTCTGTTACTTTAACTCTGTGAAGCATTTATTTGGGCTGCAATCTGAGGTGCAGTTAACTCTAATTAACTTATCCTCTGCAGCAGAGGTAACTCTGGGTCTTCCTTTCCTGTGGCGGTCCTCATGAGAGCCAGTTTCATCATAGCGCTTGATGGTTTTTGCGACTGCACTTGAAGAAACTTTAAAAGTTCTTGAAATTTTCCGGATTGACTGACCTTCATGTCTTAAAGTACTGATGAGCTGTCGTTTCTCTTTGCTTATTTGAGCTGTTCTTGCCATAATATGGACTTGGTCTTTTACCAAATAGGACTATCTTCTGTATACCACCCCTACTTTGTCACAACACAACTGATTGGCTTAAACGCATTAAGAAGGAAAGAAATTCCACAAATTAACTTTTAACAAGGCACACCTGTTAATTGAAATGCATTCCAGGTGACTACCTCATGAAGCTGGTTGAGAGAATGCCAAGAATGTGCAAAACTGTCATCCAGGCAAAGGATGGCTACTTTGAAGAATCTCAAATATAAAATATATTTTGATTTGTTTAACACTTTGGTTACTACATGATTCCATATGTGTTATTTCATAGTTTTGATGTCTTCATTATTATTCTACAATGTAGGAAATAGTAAAAATTAAGAAAAACCCTGGAATGAGTATGTGTGTCCAAACCTTTGACTGGTACTGTACCTTTTGGGATAATCTACATATATTTACAATCAACTTTACAAATTACATCCTATAAGATATCAGCTGCCTTATTACTGTAATAAATGAACATATAACTTGTGGTTATGGAAAAGTAGCCTTATTTTTGTGTCATGGCTTTCATTCATTCTTGTGTCCCTCCCCTCCTAAAACTCACAAATTTGTAACAATCTCCACTTTTATCTCCTATAAAAGTTGTCCATCTGTGATGAACACAAAGGTTTTGTTTCACATCTACACATTTGGTATTTTTTTTTATTAAACTCAATATAAAATCATTTGTGTTTGTTGTAGAACGATCCCACTGGGCACACAACATAATTTCAATGGTGATAATTGGGTCATATTTGGTTGAGATGTTGATCAATGAGATTACAACCTATATTCACCAACTCAAAAAGACAGCCAAAATTGTTTTGAACTTCCAATGTGTTTTCACTATGCTTTTAACCATCTAAAACCACAACCCAATTCCAATGGAAAAACAATGTCTGATTTTTGGTTTAGTTGTCATCCTTATCACTGCGCTTTCAACCATTTAAAAGTTCAAATGAGAATACAATGTCAGATATGTTGTTTATTTATACAACAGATTAATGTGTTATCACTGTGCTTCATCTAATAGCACAACCAAATGACCTGGATTGCAGTTGAGATTACATTAAAAGTATATAGTGGAAGTGATCAATGCGGTTCGAGATTCTGCACAGATTATTATAGCAATTGTGAAGATCTCCACAGACCTATTCTTTAACTTAGGTTTTTGGTTGAGATGTGGACATGAATCCAACATATAAATTATTAGTTTGTAGACAAACTGGAATTAAAGCCAGAATAAGTCAGTGGCACAGATGGAACTATCAAAGCAGAAGATACATCTCCTTCAAATGTTGATATTTGGTTGCATTGAAAACCAAACAAAATTCAATATCCAGTTTGTCTACAACTTAATAATTGATATAGTGGATTCACATCTCCATCTCAACTAAATCTCAAAGTTAAAGACATTTTTTAAATGCACTTCAAATAAAGTTTCATTTGATTTAGTCCTATTCTTTGACTGAATCCAACATATTAATGATTAACTTGAAGCCATTTTTTGTTGAAACCTGGGTTGAATTGAAACAGCTGTTGATGACTTTGCAAATGCTATAGGCCTAAATAGTATCATTGATGATATATGACTTATAAAGTATGGTTACATTTCATTTACTCTGTTAAACCTACTCTTTGGAATAACTTCGATAGCAACATTGAATATATTTAGTTATTAAGAGATCTCTCAATAATCATTCTCACGATAGCACATTGGTAGTAGTCAGTGACAACTACTAAAGCAAAGCAGGGCTTGGATGGGAGACTAAATTAATAGCTGTAGATAGTTCAACCCTCCAGTAGGAGGTGCAGCCCAGCCTATAGTTTCTTTTCTGATAGTGGATTTAACGTTGAAGATCTGACGTTGTTTCAAAGGTACAAATTCAACATATGTAATACAAAATTGGTTACAATGATGCCATAATCCTGTGGTTGAAATTTTACCCTCAAAATCCAATGTATTTTCCACATAGATTCCATGTCACAATAAGTTGACAAATTAAGTTGAAACAATGTTGATTCAACCAGTTTGCGCCCAGTGGGATGTGGCTAGTTGCCCATCAATGCAGAAGGTTCCTAGCTTTCCAAAGATATGTGGCATATGAGGGTGCGACGTGTCCTTCTGCCACAAATTGATGGACAGTCTGACCAGCGAATGAAATTGTAATCGGGACTGTACCCTGATACCCCAGGGTCTTCCGAGGCGAACTCAATTCAATTCAATAATAATGAAAGTCCCCGAAATTGGGCAGTTTACACTTAACCAGTTAAATCCTGAAGGTATAATGCATTATGATGTGGTTATAATGCACTGTAAGACTTGTCAAGAGCATGTATTACCCCTGTGTGTTACCAAACTCTTGGCAATGGGATCATCTTACCTTGACATGGCCCTCTTTGACCTCCCCGTACTGGACATGTTTCCTCAGGTGGTTACAGATGGCTCTGAGAGTGGGGTGGACCTCCACACAGAAGTTACACCTGTAGCCGATCGGTGCTTTGTCAGCATTGTTCACCAGCTAAAATAAAAGAAAAACGGAAGAAAAGGTGGTAAATCTAACAGCCTTACACTCATTCCACTGATATTCTTTATAACTGATTTAATTTCTAACGATAAAACTTTAAACATCAATACTATGTGTAACATTACCATGTTAGCCCAATACACTGAAAACGCTCCCTATACTGTTGGTTATTATGCACAGTCTCATTCTACTCTGAGTCCAAAACAATGGCCACATCTAGTATTTTACTGAGATGATAAATCACCATCCTTTTGTAAACTCTTCTACTCACTTTCTCAGGCTTTGTCTCCAGCAGCTCGGACGACTTCTGCTTACTAAGGAGCTGCTTCCTCCTCTCTTGCCGCATCGCCCTCTTCTGGAACTCCTCGTTATGGTTCATCAGGTGAGTGCTGAGGAGAGGAAGGCCCAGGAACTTCAACTCGCAGTGGGAACACTGATAGAGTTCTGTCTCCATCCCATCTTCCGTGAGGCTGGGGTGGATGACAAAGTCCTGTTTGTGGTCCTTGCCACTGTGATGGTCGTTGTAGTGCATGGAGAGAAGTTTGACTGTGCTGAAGGATAGCTGGAAGCATTTTAGACACTTGAAAGGCAGCCACTCGGCAACCTCTCCCTCTGGTTCGGGCTTCGGTTCAACCTCCACCACTTCTGTTACCTCTTCAACAGGTTCGGGTTCTTTGGCATAGAGCACAGTGAAGTAGCGTCCGAGCTTGCTGGTGTGTTGCCGCTTGGGGAAGACTCCTGGATGGCGTTTGATGTAGTGTGAAACTATGCTCTTCCTGCTAAAGGCCTGGAACGCACAGAGCGAACACTTCCTCCTCTCCACGGCCAATCGTAGCTCCTCGCTCAGCTCTGACCCTTCAGCCTCCGATGCCACGGGCACCACCACTTTACTGGGCTTCTCCGTCAAAGTCTTGGAGCCTGCCAGGCAATGTGTGTAATAGGCATCAATGTCATGACGCTTCTGGTAATGCGCCGCCAGGCCTTTGCGAATGGGATTGGTGTATGAACAGAGAGCACACTTGAAGACATTGTTCTTGCCTTCCGGCTGAGCCCTGACGTTGTTGTGCTTGATGCGGTAGTGTCGAGCTATGCCTTTTCTGGTTGAGCAGAAGTACTTGCAGAGCTGACACCTAAACACAGCATGGGTCTCTCCTTTGTTGATAGGGAACTGGGTAAGAGCAAGTTTGAATTCGCTAACCTCTTGTACCTCTGATGGTACACTTGTGGCACTGCATTCAGCGATCGCCTCATCTTTCAAGGTGGAATATTGCATGAGGGAAGGCTTGAACATATCTGAAGCTGGTTGATTGTGATATTTCTCATAGTGAATTTTCAGTTTCTCCAATGTCCCATGAGTGTACGGACACATTTTGCATCTGTACGCACCGTAACCCTGTCTTTGGGTCTTGCACTTGTCATCCACTTCAGTTATATCTTTAACCTGCTCGATGTCATCCGCAAAATCCTCAGCGGTGACTTTCACCAATGGATGCCTCTTCTGGTAATGAGTAAGAACTCCATGGATGCGTGAGTTCACATATGGACAGTGTCGGCACTTGTAAACCGAACTTGGATTTATGTCAGCTTCCTGTGCGAAGTCAGCCGCCTTGACTTTCATGCCTGGGTGTTTCTTGCCATAGTGTGTCAGAAGTCCATGTAGGCTGTTATACTCAGACAGACATACAGTGCACTGGTAGGGGTTGTTGGCGATTGAGGTGCTTGTGTGGGAGAGCCTGGGATGGTATTGGTGGTGTTGGTGCTCTTGAGGTGGCGTAGGGATATCCAGTGGTCCTTCATCATGAGCAGTCGGAAGAAAAGTGAAAGGTGGTCCTTTAGCCATTGAGGGGTGGAGTTTCTCTTGGGACCTTGGACCTTTGATTATGTCCAATAGCACAGACTCATCCCCTTTGACGGCCCAGGGGTGGACAGCTTGGTAGTGGTTGGTAATATCCCAGATGGAGCACGCCTCGAAGGCACAATCTCTGCATTGGTAGTGCTTACTGTCCCCAGGGTTCCCCCCTGGTTGGGAGGCGGTAGTATCAGGCCCCGCCCACAGCTTGCTGGCCATGTACGTGTAGTCAACATTGTGCTCTGGGTGGCGTCTTTGGTAATGCATTAGCAGCCCGTTGGGTTCCGCATGGGAGTAGATGCACCACTCACAGTGATAACCAGCCTCCAGGATGCCGTCTTGGTAAGCCCAGTGTAAAATGGTCATGGCTGTAGCCTTCACAGTAGGATGATCCTTCTTCAGGTGCTTCTTTAATGCGTACACATATGGAGATGTATAAGAGCAGTTCCTGCACTTCAGTGAGCGAAGAGCTCCGGAGGATGTCTCAGTCTCGGTGGGAGCAGCAGGGGCTATGGCAGAGGCGGCAGTGCCTGACTGGCCCATCTGCACTCGCTCTCGTTGACTGCGGACCACTGCAGTGTGTCGGCGTACAAGGTCAGCATTGGACTTTGCATCCCTGTGCTTCTTCTGGTAGTGAATAAGCACTCCTTTTACAGTGCGGTTCCCGTAGTCACAATGCTGACAGAAGAAAAGCATCTCTGCTTCTCCTTTCTCTGTGCCAACTCTAGCGTGAGAATTGCTGGACCCATCAAATCCGTTGTTGTTGAACTGTTTGAGAAACTGCTTTGGGGGTGCAATCTGAAGCTCATCCATTAGTTTCATCAACCCAGGGGTGGGAGCGGCGTGCTTGATGTATTTCGCTGTCACCTTTATTTCTGGATGTCTCTTTTGATAATGGACAAGAACTCCCACTACAGAGCGGTTGCTGTACACACAATGTTTACAGTAGTATATCTCCTCATCTGTACCAAATGGCATGGCGGCGCTTGGCGACTTAGCAGGGGTTGGTATATTGACATTGTAAGAAGAGTTGCCTGCTGACTGTGGCCTATCGACTGTGATAACTCTCATGGTTTTCTGAATGCGGAAATATGAGGCCTTTTGCTCTGGGTGCTTTTTCTGATAGTGAACCAATACAGAGTGCATGTTAGGGCTAGCAAAGGAGCACATGTCACAGTCATAGACCACAACATTACCAACCTCTTTCAGGGCCTCCGTCTCGGAGCTTGAATCTTGTGTCTTTGCAACACTTTTGAGCACAGGACTGGACGAGGACTTGGGTGTGGAAGTGGAGGAGCTACATGTGAAACTCTTGGGACCGGAATTTAAAATTTCTCTCAGCGTTTGAGATTCTGCTCCCTTGTGCTGCTGTTCCACCACGTAACTCGAGAAGATCATAGCATTGTTTATTTTCACCTCAGGGTGCATTCTTTGGTAATGGGGCATCAAGCTTCTGACGTTTGGACTTGTGTACGAACAAAAGCGGCACATGTACACCAAATCCGGCTGGTTGAAGTTCAGCACGTTGCTGGCTTCTGGGTGGTGATCCATGTAGTGCTCATGAAGGTTGTTGAAGTTGGTGTATTCAATGAAGCACTCCAGACAACGGAAGACGGCACTTTGATCCTCAGGGTCGAGGATGTATCTAAAGCTAAACTTAATGTAGGGGTGCATTCTCTGGTAGTGGGTGCTCACACTGCGGGCTGACTTGTTATGGTAGTCACAGTGCTTGCAATAGAAGCGTGCCATCCCAGAGTCCTCTGTATAGTCCAGGTTCTCCTGGAAAGAAGTGTCCCGGCTGTCTTGGCTGCTCTGGTCTTGGAGATCCACTTTAGGATCAGCAGACTCATTGTCCTCATCGTCAGAGAGTGTCATCGCGATGGGAATGTTTCTTAGCTTTGACGTGAGGGTTCTTTTTCTTTTCCCCACCCGGCCTTCGTAAATCTTGTTGTAAACATAGCCATGATTTTTACTCTCGCTGTTGTTCTCCTCCTTGTCTCTGCCTGCATCTTCATGAATGTTGAGCTCTCCTTCCTCTTCATCATCCATTTCTTCCAGATTAATCACCAGATCCTCCTGTTGCTGACTGATCTTGCTCTGAAGATTGTTGGCGATTTCATCAATCCTAGTTCTCTTCTTGACTGGAGACAGATCCAAAGGTAGATCATTGATGGACTTTCTTGCAGTTTTTCCAGTTAAGTGCTTTTTGGATCCAAGTCCTAGAATTGAAGTTTGGGTTTTTTGTACCTGGCTCGGAGAACTGGAGAATGTTTCCATTTCTGAGTCCTGTTGCTCGTTTGTAGAGCCCTCCAAGTTGGCAGCTTGCATGTCGTCACAGTAGGAGTGCTTGTGTTGCTGGTGAACTCGCAGCCCTTTCAGCGTGGTGGTCGAGAAGCTACAGAGTGTACAGCGGTGAGGATTTTGCTGGTTTAGATCATTGCCCACATTACTTAGCTTTTTCCCATTGACTTTGGAAGCAGCAACGTGTCCTCCGTTCACTGATTCTGTTGTAACGTTATTCTGAGGACCTGGGCTTTCACTGGTCAGGTCCATGGTGTCCCAGTCTAAGGAGTGACTTTGCTTGTGCGTGCCTAACTTGAGAGGGCTGGTGCAGATAAAGGGGCACTCATCACACTTGTATACCGTCGTCTTCCCAGATAGATGTATGTTCTCAATGTGACGGGAGATGCTTCTGCGATGCATGGTGAGGAAAGAGCAGAAGGGACACTGGAACCTATTCATGTACCTTCTGAATGGTATCCCTTTAGTCTCCAGCATCTTGTTATCCTCTTCGGACAGAAGCTGCTTAGCAGAATCTACAGCTGACAAGGGGTCGGTGTAATTGGAATCATCCTCATCACCCAGTTCCTCGTCGTCTTCCTCAGAGCTGCTCCTGGAGTCGTCAAGCATGCTTGAATCCATCTCCATGGCAGAGTTGGAAACATCGGACATGAAGAAGGTGGACCTGTCAGACAAAATGGAGGATCCCGTGCTGTTGGGCGCTACCGATTGGATCTGGGAATACTGATAGGGTGATATCCCAGAGGCGGGCTTGTTGAGCTTGAAAACCGAGGAGTTGATTACCGAGGAGGCTTCATTGCCACTCAGGTCATTGAAAACCATTTTGGAGTTAGAAGGGCTTCTGGGGGAGGAGGGGGAATCAGATTTAGAAGAGCCTGTGCTTCCTTCTCCTTCTCCACCCGGCTGGATGGTTGAAATCATTTTCACCATGTTGCGGTGCTTTTTCATCATGTTGTTACACCACTCTCTTCGAAGCGTTTGGTTTCCCCTTGACTTCCCGAGAGGTTTAACCATGGACTCTAGTATACCACACTCTACCACATCCTCTGCTAGTTCCTCACTGGGTTCCTCGGACGATAATGCCTCAGAGTCATCAACAGCCTCAGACAGAGATTCTGGGGGGTCCAGATTTCCTTTATGATACATCTTCTGGTGCTTCAGGATCCTGGCTTTGCGTGGAGACTTGTATGTACAATACTGGCAGGAGAACACTTTCCCAATACTGTCATGGATAAGGATGTTATAGTTGGACTGTTTGGACGTCTGGGAGGCTGGTGAGTTCCCGCCACTTAGTGAGGTTCCATGTACCTTCTTGGTGTGTTCAGACAACAAAGATTTTGATCTGAAGTAACGGACACAGATCTTGCACTGGAATAACTGGTTTGCAGTTTTGTTGGGATGGTTTGCTGACTTGTTGTATGGCATTTGGTTCGAACTTGAAAAGTCTGTTTCAAAGGAGTGGCCAATGAAAAAAATAGGAAAAAATAGATGTTAAAACAGTCTTTCCTTAAATATTAATATCAATGTTAATTAAAATATCTAAAAGTATTCATACCCCTTGACTTATTCCACATTTTGTTGTGTTACGGCCTTAATTCAAAATGGATTGTTTTCCTCATCCATCTACACACAATACCGCATAATGACAAAGTAAAAACATGTTTGTAGAAATATCTCATTTACATAAGAAATCACACCCCTGAGTCAATAATTTGTAGAAGGACCTTTGGCAGCGATTACAGCTGTGTCTTTCTGGGTAAGTCTCTAAGAGCTTTCCACAACTGGATTGTGCAACATTTGCTCATTATTTTTAAGGTCTGTCAAATTGGTTGTTGATCATTGATAGACATTTTCCGGTCTTGCCATAGATGTTTTTATATAGATGTTTTACTTTTTACCCCTTTTTCTCCTCAATTGGTAGTTACGGTCTTGTTCCATCGCTGCAACTCCTGTACGGACTCGGGAGAGGCAAAGGTCGAGAGCCATGTGTCCTCCAAAACATGACCCTCCCCTAACCCGGCCAATTGAGCGCCGCCTCATGGTCGCAGCCGGCTGCGACACAGTCTGGGATCGAACCCGGGTCTGTAGTGACGCCTCAAGCACTGCGATGCAGTGCCTTAGACCGCTGCGCCACTCGGGAGCCCCCAGATTTTGAGGTAGTTTTCTTTTTTATCTAGAAAAACTACTAAGTATTGATTGGGATGTGAATACTTATGTAAATTACATATTTCTGTATTTCATTTTCAATACATTTGCTAAAAGGTCTAAAAACATGTTTTCACTTTGTCATTATGGGGTATTGTGTGTAGATGGGTGAGAAAATACATCTAATTGATCCATTTTGAAGTCAGGCTGTAACACAAAAAAATTGGCAATAAGTCAAGGGGTATGAATACTTTCTGAAGGCACTGTATGCAAAGTATAAGACATATGTCTATACATATTATATCAATATCATTAATAATAATAACAATCATTATCTTTAGCATAATAATCCTAACCTTAATCATAATAATTTATCCATAAACATCACAGTTGATGCAGTGCTCTTACCCGTTTCAGTTTGTGGAGATTTATTCTGCTCTTCCTCATCCCCCTCTGTCTGGTTGAGGGAGTTCAGAGAGTCTGACCTGGACTGGCAGGGACTCCCGTCCCCCTCTCCGTCTCCGACATCCGTGGGCTGCAGGAAGGCTGTGTGTACATCCTGGATGTGGGTCTTGAGGTCGTCGTACGACTCAGCACGGAAGTCACAGCCATCGCACTGTAGCACCTCCATCGCTGAGGACTCCCTGGAAAATCAGGGAAACCTGGTGAGAAAAAGACAAGAGAGAATGGGTGAGGCCTCAGTCTCAGTCTCACACAATAACATGTCACATTTAGGCCTCAGGAGTGGAAACCCAAAGGTCTGAGTCTTTAGGCCTAGCACCAGTGTAGGCTAAAACCCTGTGATAGAAATGTGACATTAGAGACATTGAGAGAAGGCTGGATTCTTCAGCTCTGACATTACTGCATTGCATACTAAGAAGAAGATCTGTTTTTTGTTGTTGTTGCATGGTTCCAAGAACAATGGCGAGCTGAGGAAGGATTACTGAGTTGATTTGTTCCATTTTTATTACCTTGGGATAAGCCACAGCTGGAGTGCAGCACCATCAGACTGCATCCCAAAAGGCACCCCATTCCCTATTTATTGCACTACTTTTGACCAGGGCCCATAGGGCTCTGGTCAAAAGAAGTGCACTTTATAGGGACTAGGGTGCAATTTGATACGCAGAACCGTCAGACTGCATCCCAGTATCTACATCACACATACAAACAATTCCCTCAGATTGCATCAAGCCCTAGCTCCCTCTCAAATAAGATTGAATGAATCCACTGACAGAGAGAGGAAGCTTTGTGACTACAGTGCTATTCTGTTCCTTGATGAAACACACAACTGATGATAATGTCACCATCACTTTCGAGCTAGTATGACCTGTCACCTCTGACCTTGACATTCTAACTAACCAATGGCATTGCTTGTTAGTCAAACTGACTTCCAGTACTTACTCATAGCCACCAGATATATAGCCACCTCATTCATATTTCTGTTTCAAATGGATAGGTTTTCATGTAGACCAATGCCACATATGTATTGTTGTTGTGAAACAAACATAAATCCAGAACTTGTGTGGAACCACAAACAATCCAAATGGTAACCTTTCCATTCTAAAATATGTTTCCACAAATACAGTATGTACAGTATGCTAAACAAATACATTGGTAAAATAAAACAGGCCAGTTTTTAGAGCATAAAAAAAAGATCTTAATTACCCATCTCAGTTTCTATTCAGTGTCAGTTAAAAAGGAAAAATATATTTCAACGCATTAATAAAACTGACAGAGTGAAAAATGACTGGGGCATAAAATGGCTGTTTATGTGGCAGTTATGACAGTTTTTTCATCAAATGGTTTTCTCCTCTTGTCCACCCTTCTTTGTGCGATGACACAGAGCGACACACGGCATTACCTTGAAACGTAACTCATTAGCATTTAAACTGTTCACGATGCAATGTGCACTCTTTTTTATATTATTTTATTGGATTTAACATTTCTTTAAGCTTATCTAAAACACTAGGTCTAATTCTGCAGAAAGCAGAAGCAGAGGCAATATTTAATACATTTGCCATACATTTGCCAGAGGTCATCTGTGCTGTGCATTTGTCTAGGCCAAGGACATTAATATTTGCAGGTTTTCAAAGAGGATTAATGCTTCACACTACTAGCACAGTGTAGCCCAATGAAAAATCACAACATAACATTCTGGGGTCATTTATTGGTAAGATGTCTATAGGATTTGACCAGCCCTTATGGCAATGGCCTATAAAATCAGCGCCAGACAGCTACAATTAAAATATAGGCTACACTGTTCAGAAAAATAGAAAGTAGAGCGCTTACAAACTGTTGCATTTTAGAAACCCTGTTATTTCACTCGTGTTCCTATCTTACATAGCCATCCACCAGCATTCCCTTCCTAGGAGAAGCATTTGCGCTATCACCATAAGGTCTAGTATTTCCTGATTATCTGAACGTCACACCCTGATCTGTTTCACCTGTCTTTGTGATTGTCTCCACCCCCCTCCAGGTGTCGCCCATCTTCCCCATTATCCCCAGTGTATTTTTATCTGTGTTCTCTGTTTGTCTGTTGCCAGTTTGTTTTGTTTCGTCAAGCTGACCTGTGATTTTCCCCCTTGCGTCTGGCTTTCGCAAGTTCCTGGTTTCCCGGGTTTTGACCATTCTGCCTGCCCTGAGCCTGCCTGCCGTTCTGTACCTTGTCACACCACCCTGGATTATTGACCTTTGCCTGCCCTGACCCTGAGACTGCCTGCCGTTCTGTACCTGTTGGACTCTGATCTGGATTACTGACCTCTGCCTGCCCTTGACCTGTCGTTTGCCTGCACCCTGTTTTTGTAATAAACTTTTGTTACTTCGACACTGTCTGCATCTGGGTCTCCTCCTGAAATACTGAAGCTCCTGCACCTGTGGCAAAATGGTGTCCTCTAAATGTAGCCTACCAGTTTCACTATACAGAAGGTAAAATTAGCTTAACAACAACATGTTGCAGAGCTCGAAAGCCACATGACATGAGCCTTCCTCACCTATAGCTAACCAACAGACCTCTGGACAAAATGGTGTCCTCTAAATGGAAATTTTAGTTGAGCACATTATCTCCCTTTGCCTGGTCCTGTACATGTTCACCATACAAAGGTAAAACATTGTTAAACATGGTATACAACCTGTTGCAGAGCTCAAAAATACAAACCAACAGAGCTCTGGTAGAAAGGGAAGAAACTGAGTTATATGTCCATTTGTTTTGGTATTACTCCTATCATAGATAGTTATTTTTGGGCTGCAGACCTCTGGACTTAAACCATTACAGTTGACGTTCAGCAACCAGTCAACCTCCACTGGAACAGCACTTGCTGCCTGCCAAGTGTGTCCCTGAGAAGCTAGCCCTGCTCCCCATTGTTGTCCAGGGTCAGGTTACTGCTCCATGAAAGGCCCATCCCTGATCTGTTGGCAGCTCTCTCATCAGAACAAAGTTGCATTCTAAAGCTAGGTTCTTTGACATGGATATCAAGAAGAATCCTTGAGGTAAAAAAAGAAAGGAGAAAACAGCCTCAACCTGAATTTACTACTACTATTTCCCTTGGTGTCAGTTTAGTGACTACATGTCAGCCTAACCAAGTTAATGCACGGTATTTGTAATGCTTTCATCTGCTCTATCTGGGCTTTGACAGTCAGGCAATGAGCTGTGCAGCAGATCCTTTGAGCTTCAAGGGCAGCCATTTTAGGAGCCAGCCAGCTATGTGTGCTTAGGTGTTCAGCCAGTGCTCTCACTGCACAACATGGACCCATGGATCAGATCCTCCTCACAGTGAGGCTGTGTCCCAAATGGCACCTTATCTCCTATGGGCCCTGGTCAAAAGTAGTGCACTACAATAGGGGCCTGACACAGCCCAGACAGTGACTGGAGAGCTGCTGACAGAAATCTATCTGCCCGATGTCCTGTACCCAAGTCCTTCAGCCTGCCTGCCTCGGCATGGCCTGCATAGCTCAGCAAAACCACCTCGCACTTTGCCAGCCTTCCTGACAGCAATTTCATTTATTGGGGACAATATATTTTATACTTTGGGATTTATAAAATTACTGTACCCAAAAAATCGAGAGGGTCAGACGTTTGGAGTGACACAACCCCAGCTTCTTTAACAATCAGGAAGATAAAAAAAAGTAATTTTAGGAATTGCCTTCTAAGCTCCACAAGGGGTCTAATAATGCAAAGCATGCCTGAACTTCCTTTTTCAAAAATCTGCAGCCTTGGGCTTGAATATCAGAGAGGAGGGGTGAGGAAAGGCATGCCAGCATGACCCGGCCACCTGGGAGACCTTCCTCTGAGCACAGAGGACAATGCCATCTGACTCGGCTCCCCAGATTCCAAAGTCTACTGACATTTGTTAATCACCAACCGGTCTCTCTGCATCGGCGAGGCCTGCCAGCAGTCACACCCTCTACTCAAACTGGGCCCGGCCCGGCGGCAGCAGCTGCTCTGTCTGAAAGAGGGCCTTTGAATAAGCCAGCAATAAGCTGATTAAGAGTACAGAGGTTTTGTCCTTAACCGTTAGTCGGGCTGGTCGCTCCAGTCCACCATCTCATGTAGTATACAGGAGAGGGAGGCCACAGATTATATTATGTGACCACGGTGGGGACACAGATTCATCTGATAACATGGATTGGGAGTATTGGACACATGTTGTGAACGTGTAGAGATCCTCAATTATTCATGCTTGATTGATTGAGAACATCAACCTTTTATAAACAAGTAATAATAGCGGCCTACAATCCACCAGAAATCTATTGTTGTCCATGAGAGATGACACACAACACACCACCAGAGAGAAATCAATAAAGTTGCCTGTTATTCCATATTTGAAAAGGTTTAGGCTAGAAATTACAAACATAAAACCAGATTTTGACTGTACCCACAGGGACTATAGCCTACCTCTAGTCTTGTGCCAGTGGAAGTCATAGTAGAAAGCTTCTATTGTCCCAACAGCAGAGGGGAGGTTGCGTCACCAAGCAGTGAGCCTCTTCTGTTGGCCTCTTGCACAAACAGAAGATAAAAGAGAGGGAGATCAAGATGGAAACTCCAACAGCTCTCTGTCACTTCGTCTATGTCAACAGTGGACAGATCTAGATTCTTCAGACCTGTTGTCCCTTTCATATATAAAATATGCCTTTCATAATGAATATGGAAGAAATTAGACTACCACTGGACAGCTCCATCTCAGGCACTTCAGACTTCAGACTTAATGAGTCAACATGTTGCCCATTCATATTTCTTAAATCATGGTTTTTGAAAAGTAAAAGGCGCAGCGCTCGCTAACAAATAAAAACAATATATTATTTAAGCAGCTATTAAAAGCTTGACCTTTCGGCCTTAATCAATGGCCTTCATCATGGCTTTTAGAATGAATATGGAACAAACAAAACGAGACTACAACCTAAAAGCCAGTGCCGAATCATCAATGGAATGAAGTGGAATTATTTCCACCACACTCTTACAATTAGCCGAGGTTGTCACTCAAATCTACTGGTATACAGTGAGGGAAAAAAGTATTTGATCCCCTGCTGATTTTGTACGTTTGCCCACTGACAAAGACATGATCAGTCTATAATTTTAATGGTAGGTTTATTTGAACAGTGAGAGACAGAATAACAACAACAAAATCCAGAAAAATGTATGTCAAAAATTGTATACATTGATTTGCATTTTAATGAGGGAAATAAGTATTTGACCCCTCTGCAAAACATGACTTAGTACTTGGTGGCAAAACCCTTGTTGGCAATCACAGAGGTCAGACGTTTCTTGTAGTTGGCCATCAGGTTTGCACACATCTCAGGAGGGATTTTGTCCCACTCCTCTTTGCAGATCTTCTCCAAGTCATTAAGGTTTCGAGGCTGACGTTTGGCAACTCGAACCTTCAGCTCCCTCCACAGATTTTCTATGGGATTAAGGTCTGGAGACTGGCTAGGCCACTCCAGGACCTTAATGTGCTTCTTCTTGAGCCACTCTTTTGTTGCCTTGGCCGTGTGTTTTGGGTCATTGTCATGCTGGAATACCCATCCACGACCCATTTTCAATGCCCCGTCCATCGTCCCTTTGATGCGGTGAAGTTGTCCTGTCCCCTTAGCAGAAAAACACCCCCAAAGCATAATGTTTCCACCTCCATGTTTGACGGTAGGGATGGTGTTCTTGGGGTCATAGGCAGCATTCCTCCTCATCCAAACACGGCGAGTTGAGTTGATGCCAAAGAGCTCCATTTTGGTCTCATCTGACCACAACACTTTCACCCAGTTCTCCTCTGAATCATTCAGATGTTCATCGGCAAACTTCAGACGGGCCTGTATATGTGCTTTCTTGAGCAGGGGGACCTTGCGGGCGCTGCAGGATTTCAGT